ATCTATCTATCTATCTATCTATCTGTCTGTCTGTCTGTCTGTCTGTCTGTCTGTCTGTCTTTGAGAACAGAGTTTACAAAATGCTTTAGCAGATAGTTAAAGGTCATTCAAGGGTCAAAATCCAAGCATATTTACAGGCCATATTCTATTGAAAAAGCTTCCTTTACTCTGCCAGCTAATGGAGAGGGCCAGCAGTGCCCACAAATCCTCTTACAAAGCTCCTATAATAAGAGGCTTGGCCTATGAAACTCTAAACTTCCATTTGATTTGTTGGAACAGGCCACTCTTAAATTGTCTCCTTCTACAGAGATTGTTTAGGTTTATCTCACTCATGCTGACCTACAATGAGCCACTTGTTTGGTTTAATTGGATGATATAATTGTATTTGGTCATACTTTATACATAGAGTATACTTAAAATATATAAAAAATGCTTTATTGTTGGTGATCAGCTTTAACCTTGTAGGAGCAGCTTGCTAAATTAAGTGCTGAGGAACGGCATGACTAACGCTATAAAGAAAATGATCAATCCTAGAATGGGGACATGAATGTTTTCCAGTGATCATCACTAAATTTCCTATAGATGGCACATAAAATAATCCTCACCTCACTAACTTGACACAAAAAACCTTGAGTCACCATGAAGCAACTGAAGGACAGATTATGACAATAAAAACACGTGTTTTCAGTAAGTGGCTGTTGCATTGGTGTCAGTTTCATTTTCAAGTGAATCCTGCCCAAGTCAGTGTCACCCTAACCCTGGCGCAATAACTGTCTCTGGCTCAAAAATATATCAGGAAGGTTACGTAATGTCTCTTTGTCCACTCTTTGCTCAGAGATTCGCAGATCATACAAAAGGAGATGTAACAGTCTGAAGACATTCTTTGAGGCTTTGATGCAGGAAAAAACGGATTTGTTTGCCTCCAGTTTTGACTTGACGCCTCATATGCAGCAATAATGTGGAAGTTTTGTCTGGGTGGCAACATGCTATTTATTATAAACAATTAATGTTTCATAGTACTCAGACATCTTTTCCCCATGAAAAGATATTAACATTTTCCAGAACAATCAATAATGTCCTGTAAGTTAGTGCTGCTGCAACCCACACAAACAGTTATACAGGATACTTTCACATGGCAAATCACTCCAAAAGCCAAGCCACCCACATGAACAGACCTGCAATTAACCCATGCAATATAATAGAAACTTTAAAGTTGTCCCTCCTGCTAAATTACATTCCTGGCTATCGACCTTTCCCACATATTAAAGCACATACACATAATATATAGCTTGGGTATCATGGAGATACAGTGTTAGACAACAGGAGAGCAATACAGGCAACCTTACTGGTCTTAAATGTCTTCAGGAGGCAACAGATCGCCCTTCCTAACAGTGGAACAACTAACTGTCTTCATTGCCACTGACTCTAAACAGCAGTGGATACTACCATCCCTCCGGACCACACAGCACAGCCTTTAACTCCCCAATGACCCACTTTTAACTCTTTTTAGTGTCTCCCCCTCACCCTCAATTGCCCACACCTGTCCCCCCATCAGATTGTCTTTCTCATGAAACCAATCACCTCAATATCTGTCATGTTTTAGCCTTCAATTACATCACAGAGCTTATGCCATACTGTGAATAGATTAAACAGTGTATAGAAGGAAATCTAAAACATTTTATAAAAATACCAGCATTTCATGGCAGACCTATTACTTTAACTTCCGTCATTTTGACCATTTGGAGGTCAGGAACAAGCAGCTCAGCTTGTTAATTGCTGACTTTTTACATACCTTTCCTTTTAAGTGGGTGTGGAGGAATAAAATCACAGTTCAGAGGTTTTTCAAAGTGGCCAAGGCTTTTTGAATGGCCAGAATAGTGAAAAAGCAGAACATTGTCCATACAACTGAGAAAAAACCCTTTAAAAATAAACCTTCTAACAGTGGTGTTAATAGACGACACATTTGTGGTATTTCCTCCAAGTGGAATTCCCATCAGTGGAGCTTGAATTAGATGCAACCAAAGACACTCTAACCACTGAAACTTACTGAAACAAACTTTCCAATAAACAAATAAAGGTATGCATGAAATACATGTTGCAAGAGAGGTTTAGGAGAGGTTAAAACTGAGCAGTGTTTGTTTTTTTAAGATTGAGGAACTGCTGAAAATTACTTTTTATCCACAAATATGCCAGAACAGTGTACCAGTGTAAAGTTTTTACACAACTTTGTTTTTCAGTTGTCACAACAGGGGACACATACAGAGAGAACTCCACTGATAACAACACATAAGAATTACTGTTGTGTTCTTGCCATAAACTGCACTCTCCCCCCCCAAGGCCAGTGGTTTCTCTACAATATAAATTCTAACACTGCAACCTCTATCCATATGTTTATGGTTATCCTGATAAACTATTAATAAAGGAATGAAAGGTTTGCTGTATTGCTGTTTAATTTGTTTAATTGTGTTTAATTAGCCATGTTATTACCTCTGTGCCTGCTTAAATTCATTTATCTTCTACTTGTCTTTCCTGTGGTATGGCACAAGGTTTCAGTTATATCTATCTACCTATCTATCTATATACATATATATAGCCCCAAGATATTTCCTAGTTACCTAGTTGCGCATCTTGCTTTCATCCATAGACTGTTAAAAGTTGGACAGCAGACTGTTTCCTTCAATTTTATGAGACAACAGAAGCCCTAACAGATTTGTGGTCAGGGTAAGGGTAATTCTAGGTTCTTTTCCCTTTTTGCTAAGTCTTCTGTGAGAAGCTTTGGTAACCCTTGAGTCGCATTAAATTTCTGGTTTGCTCTTGTTTTTTCAGATAAGAAATGTTGTGAAGTTGAGTTCTATTGTCTCATGCACTAAATTCCAAATTCTTATTCATACCTTCTGGATTATTTTAATTTATTATTTGCTTGCTTTAACAAAGCTTTTTTGCAATCTCGGCAGATTGTTCAGAATGCCACTATGAGACTTACATATCAGTCTGATGCTCATTCATTTCCGGCTTTCAAGTAAATTCAGTGTCCACTGACTACCAAGATTTTGTTTTTGACTTTTAGAGCACTACATGAACAAGTGACAGCATAGATCACTGAACATTTACATCCATACATCTTGGGGGTCCTTGAGGACCTGCTGGCTGTCCATCATACTAGACAGAGAACTATAAAAAAAAAGAGCCCATATGGAAAAGATATATATAAATCTTATAAAGTTTTTATCTGTCTTGTATGAAACTTGTATGAAAAGCATACAAGAGTGAAAACACATATAAGATCCCTTGAAAAATTATATAATGAAACTTGTATGTTTTGTATACTTACTAAAAAAATATATGAAAGTAATGAGAAAGTGGCTACTTTCATGAGTAAATCATGTAAGCCTTATATGATTTATATATGATTTACTCATGAAAGTGGCCACTTTCTTGAGTAAATCATATATGTTTTTACTATTTCTTTTCCATATGGGGGTTCACGCCAATGGCCTCCATAGACTCTGGAATGCTTTCCTCTTAGCCTGACAACTGGTTTCTTTCTAAAGGCAGCTAAAGCTTTTTGTCTTTATATTTTTAGCATTTTTGTTGTGGAATTTTGGTGCTTTATGAGTACAATTTTTATTTACTTGCTTTACTTATATAAATGTCTTCAGCTTTCAGTTGTGACCTTCTTTTGGCAGTCACTAATCATCCTATCAGCCAAAGATGTAGTTTAACCTTTATGAGAAGGATTTCTTTAAAAAATTAAAATACTATCTGGTGTTCTCAAATGGCACGTACAAAAATATCTTTCTTTCTTTATATCCGCGATGTTTCCCTTCGACTATCTCAATAAGTATTACGCCACCTGGAGAACAATTTTCATAACTTATTGGGTTATTACTGCTAGTATATAAACAGGGCTAATTTCTGAGATCTATCATAGATGGCATTTGTATTTGTCACAAAACATCTTAAGAACTCTCCGTATAGCTTAGTGGTGCTCTATAAATATTTCAACAGGAACAAAACACTAATTATATTTTCTGGTAAACCAATACGATATGCTTTACAGCATTTGGCTTTGTCATCTTCATCAGGTATTGGTGTAATCAGTTTGGAGCGAGCCTATCCTCTCACTCTTGGGTCCAACATTGGCACAACTGCCACAGCCCTGCTGGCAGCTTTGGCCAGTCCTGGGAACAAACTTGCTGCTGCCATACAGGTAGGTTTTGTTTGTTTGTCTGGATACAAAGGACATATAATAATAATGATGATGATGGTGAT